GTTATTTACAATTTTTGATTCATTTGCAGGTGGCCCCGATGTTTTTCTAGTTTATTGTGACATGACAAATATCCGTCTTATGAGTGGACATCGCAAGGGTATTGTTGCGCTGTAACGTCAAATGGATGCTTTAACCAAGTGGAGAAATTTCTGCGACCCTTTCCCCTCGGTGTTGGCTTTCGTTATTATGATTAAATTAGAAGAGGTGCTTTGAACGGTTGTACAAGCGATTATATTCCTTCATGAGATTCTGTTGGCAAGCTACAGGTTACGGTTTACGAGTTAGAAGGTCTTCACAAAAGAGAATTCGTCGGGAGTGTTAAAAAAAGGACCCCTGATTATAAAAAAACGCACACTCGGTTGAAAAGATAAGTGTTCCTGTTAGGCAAAGCACAGATATTGCTGCCGCTGAGATTGAGAACATGAAGAAGTGGGCGGATAAAAACGAGATGTCTCAATTTTACCAAAACATAGGAAATGTGCATACACGGCAAAACTACTAAGTTATCCCCTTCAGAATTACCAGGAATAAAAGGAAGCCATGGCTAAAAATATTAGGAATCACATTTCAGGAAGATGCTACGGACTGGGACATCCATATCGACGATATGCTATCCAAATCCAGTAGTTGAATGTACATTCTAAGGGTATGCAAATCCTATCGATCTTTCAAAGATCAACTCAATAATTTGTTTAACTCGCTCGTCGTGTCCGTATTCATGCATGGGATTGAAGTTTGGGGTGCAGCTTACCAGCGAGAATATCTAGACAGAATCGACTGGTTTCTCAAGAAGGCCCTCAGGTTTGGCTTCACCACAAAGAAACAACTATACTTGACTGAATTAAAGATAGGGACTCTAAGCTTTTTAACAACGTAATCAGTGATGATCATGTACTTCATGATTTTCTACCCCTAAAGAGGAGACGTGTGCTCCGTGAGTCAAGCATGACTTTATATTACCTAGAGTTAAAAACGAACGCTTCAAGCATTGTTTCCTCAATAGATACCTCTTCAAATAAATTCACCATATATAGGGAGCTTCATAATATTACTTGTTGCAATGCCACGATTTTTACATATTCCTAAATATACTCATAATTTTCTTACTGATATATTGTAAAGTTACACGTTTGTTGTTTCTGATTTATTAAAGACAGATTATCATTGTTATTATTATTTTTTTATTATTAAAAGAATGGAAACATAATTTTTTGGAAGCGCTTTCGGCCATTAAATCTTAATCCGTGATTTCATTTAGTATTTGTACTTTAGAGGGGTTTGTTACTGTGGTACTGTAGGAAAAAACACGTCTGTATAATAGAAACTAACTAAATAGTTCAGTTCTTTTACACGAGTGTAACTTAAGTTGAGGACCTAAGGAACCAAATTTTTATTTTAACGTAGAAAGCTTTCGTCCGAATATCCTCAGTGATACAGGTCTAGTATTTTTACACGGTCTTGCCCTTTTCCAGGACACAATCTCCATCAAACATCCCCGGCAGCTTACTTATCAATTACAGGCAGTTCGAGGTCTGTAGCTGGTAGACTCTCGGTCCCTTCTTCAGAAGAAACCCTTGGTTGTTCAGGGAGAAAACAAAGTCGTCGAAAATACGAATCTGCAGTCGTATATCCTATCACAAGTAAACATGAAAAAAAGGTGTTTTTCAAACTGAAACTTTTTTAGATGAGATCCCTCTGAGAGAATCATTCAAGAAGAAGTGACTGGCAAACCAGACACTTCGGACACACATTAAATGATTGCGAAACTTCAGGGCGCGCGACACGCCAGTGGAGCAACCATATTTAAGAAAAAGTACTCTTAACTTGAACTTTATATCTCCAGATTTAATGGGTGGAAAAAGGCGAAAAACAAAGACACCTTCTTGATCCTATTTGCCTACTTAAATTTCTAAAATCATCGAGAACCCAATGACTCTTGGAATGTAATCTCTTAAGTGCTGATATCAAATATTTTAATGTTAATTATAGAAAGGAGTGCCAGCATTTTGATACATTAGAATCAATGGAAAAGTGTTCACAATCTGCTCATGTGAGGAACATGCAGGAAAATATATCCCAAATAAATAGCGCCCATATGAGAAGCCGATCTACTCTCGCTCTAATTGCATTCATTTGTTAGAAAATTAATCTTATTAAAGTTAAGTTCTTACTAAAGAAAAGCGTCCCAGTTACCTTCGCTATCTTTCTCATTTGTTCAACAATGAAAAGTGAGTTGTATTCCCTCTCTGAAATGCGACTTAGCTCTGCAACGAAGCGTTTTGACTGCAAGATAAAAAGAATTCAGCAATCACGGACTACAACTCCTTCTTAACAAACTGAGACAAAGTCTCCCAAATAAAACCATAACAAGAATGATTCAACAGACCCATAAGGCGAATAATCCATTATTGAGTACCCGTCTCACCGCAAAGAATGGCGTTTGCTCTACCCTTGGTGGCCTAAAATGGAGTTTTCTGTGCGAATTTGATGCTTGTGTGTTAAAAAAAGAGATTTTATAAGCGAACGAAGGAAAAATGAACGCAGTTAGCTCTTCTGTCAATTATTTAAGACAGACTTTGCTGGGTACGTGACGATGAGTACCGAATCTCCTTTCATACGAAGACTAACCTGTGCTCTTGAGCTCTTTCCGGAGCCATGTTGAGAGCGTTGAAAATCCAGATTCCCAAGGTCGTGCCTAAACGTGTCCAGGAGCCTGTAATTCATGATCTCCACCACATCCTTGCCGTCTTGTTGGCTAGCCTTTTCGCGCATCTCAAGCCGTGCTCGTTAGAAATCGCCTCCTTGTATGCGGAATGGCGTTTCTTTCTGTAAGTTTTGCAAGAACAAATTTTTGCGGTTCGATGTTGGGGCATTTCTGTTGGGAGATGTTTTCATTACAAGCAATGACGCAAGCATTGATGGCACAACACGTACAAGAAAAGAATTAAAAAATCAGTTCAAAACAAATAACATTAATTGGCACATGTAGAATGGAGTTTTTTAGTAGAATGATGGTAACAAATTTTTGCAGTGTTTTCTTTTGATAGAGTCTTATTTCTGCGGAAAACCGAAGACTATATACAGTAGTTATTCGGTTATAAGGCGCACCGTTTTTTTCAAGAAATTCCTAATTTCTACTAAAAATTACCGCCAAAGTTTGGGTGCGTCTTATAGGCGAATATTTTCCCGAAACAATTTTTTTTTGTCACAGTTACTGGTACGATCAAGCAAATAAAATGACACACACACATTGACTTTTAAGAATATGGTGGTTCTGAAAAGACAAGCGAAGTCAAATTTGCATAGATGTGATACGTGCTCGAGAGCACGTGCTTAGTAATTTGATACGTCACAAAACGAAACGAAAATAAACAAGCGAAGAGGTAAATACCTTCTTCATCCTTTCAGCCTTTTTAGTGCACTGAGACCTGCATTCTCGGCGGTACATCTTGTTTAATCAAGGCTTTTTTTTGTGTGCGTGGTCGCGTGTGCGACAATTCTGCTTTTGTTGATTAACGGTAAACTAAAATCAATACGCGACTTTTTCGCTTTTTTGTAAGTTTATGAAAGAATTTACAATAAACTTGACCGATCTTTACTCCCCAAACAACGGTGCGCCTTATAACCAAGTACTTTAGCGATTTTCTCAGTTTGAAAACATGCAATAATGAAGTTGCCGAAATGGGGGTGCGTCTTATAGCCGAGTGCGCCTTATAACCGAATAACTACGGTAATAACTACTATAATAGCTCTCGGATATTTCTACGCGTGCTCTCTACACTGTTATCTACAAAAAATTTCCTATGGTACTGACAAGGAGACATCGTTAAACAATCAAGAGCTTCTTTAAATGGTGATGATGATATCTATCTTTCTCGTTACCTTAATGCTTGATTCAACAGTAAGACTTTATGGCGAAATTAATGTTTATACCTGAGTGATTCTTATGAGTGACTCAAGTTGCCTGGTTGTGATAGGGGTACTATCCGCACTGTGATGCTGTTGTCTTAAGTCCAAATAAAAATTCTACAGAAGAAACATAACTAAGTCAGCGACAAATGAATCGGAAAACAGGAAAAAAAGATTAAAACTTCGAAGGGATTTTAGCCCGTACTTCCTCGATACCCGTTGGCACTACCTCAACTAGGTTACAAAGCCACCTTAAATCTCTTTCTAGGCTTTACCTGATAAGAATACTAACTTTTCTCTGGTTTTTTTCACTGTTCACATCGACGCTGTTTTTGATTTAGTTGTTCATTTCGAGACCGAATGCTTCTTCGATCGTTTTGATGCAAATTTACTTCAGAGGACCTCTTGACTCGCATGCAAATTTGGTTAGTAACTCGTGCAGTAAGAGATGCCCTCTTATGTAGGTAGTAAACCTAGAAATGGATAACTCGCTATAATGGGTTCTTTTTGACATACTAAGCGGTCAGATAACAAGCGATGCACTGTGGAAGTAAGGTGAGGTATTTTTTTGGAGAATTTGACCATATTTTTTTCGTTCCTAAGAGCGGTCGTAAATATTCCCAGACAAACTCTTATAATATCGTGGTTATCTGAGCAATTAGTTGATTTGATGTATCTTTGATCAAATACCGCAAACCACGAGCATGAAACCTCATTCTTGTCGTCATGACAGTTTGGGAGTTGTCTTGTCAAACAAAACGGCCCAATGGGTTAATTCAACGTCACCAAAGACCCACATTTCCCTTTTTATTGAAAACCGTAAACCACGTGGATAAAACCTCATTGGCTGTCATTATGATTGTATGGGAGGTTTCTTTTCAAATAAAACAGCCTCTCCCTAGTTTAATTTTGCACATCGATACTATTCCTAGTCTAAGAAAGCTCTGTGCAAGCCTCAGACCAACGAAAATATGCAGTGTGACTGGGTGCCCATACAAACTGATAGCCTAGGCAAACTTCCAGGATACCACGAATCTGAGATTACCTACTCGTTCGATCTCCCTGAAATTCCAGCCGAAGCAAAAGAGGTCCTCGTTTATACATTCATGACTACGATCGGAAATGGTTCCTTTCAGCGAGGCTACTACGAGATTTTCACGAGTGACGGTGGCAAGGATTTCAAGCAGTACATGAACGTAGCCACTGGCGATGGCATCAACATTGTCAACTCCATCAACGCGTGGTTTCCTGTCAAGGATAAGAGGGAGTTGAAAGTGAAGTTGTATCACCCTACGAGTCTGAAAAGTAAGAAAAAGCACATTGCAGGCGAGCTGGAACCCCAGGAATGGAGTGATGTGTACATCATCGGTTACAGAACCTGAAGTTCAACTAGACTCTAGCACTTTCTGGTGGAGCACCATGCCTTTGACATTTAGCACGCAGACATATTTAAAGTGCGCATTTAAGGAGAGAACATAACTAGGTTTTTCAATTTTTGTGTTGTAGATTTTGAAATGTTTGTCAAGGGTTAAATTAAGCTTAATAAAGAACGCTAATGTAGGAGTAAATGCGTGTTCAATTTTGTATGATCTTTCACAAAGAGGGACGAACCGTAATAATTGAAGCGAAGACTGGTTAGTTGGATACCTTAGCTGATATCCCTAGCCCTGTCTCTTGTGGTCAAGCTATGACTGATGTTGCATGGATGATGGTAAATTATGACCTCTTAAATCTTGACAAGGTGGGGACTGATGCACGACTTACTAACCAAATTTGCATGCGAGTCAAGAGGTCCTCAGTACGTGCTTGCCCTATATAAGTTCTATTGAGCCGCTATACACTCAAAAAGCTAGAGTTGCTCTCGGCTGCGCCTCGAGCTACTCTTACGCATTTTTCGTGCTTTCTAAACTTCCCGCGTGCATCCATAACTCGACGCTAAGCATGAACAAATTCTTAAATTTAGTATGTTCGAAACCTCTTTTTCTCAGAGGTGGCTTAAGGTGTAAACAAGTAGTACTTTTCATCCTCCGCACCGAATATATGATCAGGTAACTTATACGAATAGCACCCAGCTCCTTTAAAAACTACTTTTAACAATATTGTGCTTTGGATAAAAGTCATGTGCGCCAATTTGTTATT